AATTATTTCCCCTAGTATCCAAAATTAAACCAGAAAAAAATGAAACCAAGAAAAAAAAAATAAATAAATAAATAAAATAATACTCCAAAGTATCCCTCCCTTTGATCAGCTGGAAAAGTAAACAGACGGTTTGAAGGCAACGCTGGCGTCCGGATCACATTTTCCCAAATAATTGGTTTCTGAGGCTTTATTACTCCGATGTGTGGAATTTTTTGAATTGATGTTGATGAGGAGTATAGGTGAGGAGTGTTTGAGCGGGTTATTGTTGTGTTTTAAGTTCTATATGAAGGTATTTTTGGACGTGGTTGAATTATGGTAATTTATGGAAACATTTAAGAATATTTATGTATTTATGAGATTATTTTGTTGTTTGTGTCATTATCAGTAAGTTGTTTCGCATAAATACACAAGTTTGATATATAAGCAAAAAGCAAAAAGAAATTGTAAAATGGAAGTCAGTGCTATAATTTCCATGGAACCGTAAATACGATATGAAAATTAAACTTTAAAATGATAAATATTCTTTGTTGAGTGACATCCGAAATGGGACTTTAAGTGCTATACACTTGAAACTTCCTGCAATTCACGATGCCTGATGCTGAGACTATATTTTCAATCCAACATGATAGGAGTTCTGTGTCAAGCAACTCCTCCTTCCAAACTTCAATCTCTGGCAAGGATCAACAAAACTCTTAAGAAATTCATGCAGGATAGAACTCTGTTTAGTTGATGATACATCTTGAGGAAGGTTAAAAGGCTCTTGTCTCGCCAGGATGCATGCTGTGGGGGATGTTAGCCTTAGCCAGAGTGGCAAAGGGCGCAGAGACCACACTCTAGCTAGTGGCAGATGTGAAGGTGGATGAGTGATAATTACCAAGTATTATTCCATAGAATGTCAAAGTCTTTACATAATTTAGAAATGGAGATATGGGTAATACAATTCAGTTTGTTAATTCTTTGTTTTGTGACAATATTCCTCAATATGTTTGCATGGTTTTCATATCACAGGACAAATACATAACTAGCTGACACTAAGATAGATTAAAACAACACAAAAAGCACTGAACCCTAACTATGAAACAGAAAATGCAAAACACTACTACAAATGAACATCAGCATTCAACAGTATACACTTTGAAGTACCACAAATTATGGTTTATTTGTATATTCAAGTTTGTCATATTTTCTTTCAGGGTAAAATGTCTGGCACAGCTGTGTCTATGACTCCTCCCTTAACGCCTCCCGTCGAAGGCACGGGGGAGGAGGCGATGGATTCCGATAGCTTGGACTACATGGACTTCTTCATCAATGACATGGAATTGTCACCAGTGAAGGAAGAAAAAGGTAGTGATATATTTGTTGATTTTCTATATATCAGTGTTTACCAAGTCATATGTAATAATTATAGCCTATGTAGCTATATTTTTTATTGAGTTATAATGGGTGGTAAGGGAATGTTTCTCAATTGTTTTGATTGTTGTGAGTCTTACTAATTTGTTGGTGAGTATGCTTAGTTGCTCAGATTAACATGTGATACAATTTAGACCTGCTTCTTTATTTATATTTCTTTACTAAATTAATAGGACTGCTTAATTAAAGGAATGTCTTGGGATTTCTGATGAGCTGAGCTGACCATAATATAATATAACTTTTTAATATGACTTCTATCCTGTTACAGCTGCTGTGAGCGTGTTTGAAGTGAAGGCCCGTTATTGTTTTCACTGTTCGGGGGAAGTTCCTGGCTCAATATACACTTTGAAGTACCACAAATTATGGTTTATTTGTATATTCAAGTTTGTCATATTTTCTTTCAGGGTAAAATGTCTGGCACCGCTGTGTCTATGACTCCTCCCTTAACGCCTCCCGTCGAAGGCACAGGGGAGGAGGCGATGGATTCCGATAGCTTGGACTACATGGACTTCTTCATCAATGACATGGAATTGTCACCAGTGAAGGAAGAAAAAGGTAGTGATATATTTGTTGATTTTCTATATATCAGTGTTTACCAAGTCATATGTAATGATTATAGCCTATGTAGCTATATTTTTTATTGAGTTATAATGGGTGGTAAAGGAATGTTTCTCAATTGTTTTGATTGTTGTGAGTCTTACTAATTTGTTGGTGAGTATGCTTAGTTGCTCAGATTAACATGTGATACAATTTAGACCTGCTTCTTTCTTTCTTTATATTTCTTTACTAAATTAATGGGACTGCTTAATTAAAGGAATGTCTTGGGATTGTTCTGATGAAGCTGAGCTGACCATAATATAAATATAGATAATTATTTTAGTTAAATGTACTTTCAGGTATATATATTCTTTATTTATCTTTTTAATATGACTTCTTATCCTGTTACAGCTGCTGTGAGCGTGTTGAATGAAGGCCCGTTATTGTTTTCATGTTCGGGGGAAGTCCGCTGGTCTGACAGCTTTGATGATACATCTTGCATAGGTCGCAGATGCCTTGCCAACCTCTTGCAGTTCAAGAATCCTTGTTCTAGTGGACTTTTAGCACCAGAGATTGTATTTCATCTTCCCTGCACAGCTGACAATTTACACTACAGATTGGACCATTTTTTCCTAGCAGTACGGTAAGTAAGTAAAAAAGTAAGAAAAAAGAATAGTGTCATACTTATTGACTTTTAAAAACTAATGTATTGTAATGTCTTAAGGAACACAAAATACTGTTAGGTAACCCCACATTTGCTTATCAAAATTGAAGAGCTATGCATCAAGCAATGCTTCAACAATGATCAACAAATCTATACCATATATATTATTGCAAGGCTTCTAGACCTCCCAAGTGATTAATGATCAGTTAAGGAACTATTGTTGAAGCTATAGCAATGTGATGGAGGTTTGTTGGCCTTTGCTAGGAAGCTAACCATGGACGCCACAGTGCTGCTTGATGCATTCCGAGTGCAAATAGTTGGTGTACAATACATATCTTATATATAAGATTAAGATAGCTTATAAAGTTTTAATTCCTTGAACAGAAGCCTTGAGTAAATCTAGTATGAAAGTTAAAGGTAAACATTTCTTACATACTGCAAATTGGTTAATGTATTGTCATAATAATTGATATGATTATTTCTTTATAAGCTTGATGAGTATCTTTTTTTGTTTTTCAGACAAGGTGTTACAGAGCTGGAGAGGGGTGCTCAATCTAGCCTGTGCGTAAGCCAAAGCTGTTATGATATACAGTACCCAAAGATACGCAAAGATATAGCTACATTGTTCAACAGCTTAGTGTCTTATGTGTATAGTCAGACTGGGGATGAACATAGAGAATTTCTGCTGCAAGTTGTCACAGAGGTGTTGGAAACTCTCCTATTTTTGGGTCCATTACATGAATTGCCAGAGCATGTAACTTCTGCCAGCTCTCCACAAGGCAATAAGGTGTGAATTTACTCTTCATGTTATATGAAAGATATATTTGAGGTTCTTAATAGAATACAATCTGTATAAGAATTAATGAAGCATCGAAACTGTTACACTGTATTAACAATATCTTCCTGGTTATTAGTGTCCCTCTGCAGCCTACCACTTACTCCACCTCCACCTGGATATTCGATGGTGGAGTGTAGCTCTTCTGCACCTGACTGAAGCCACCCTTGGGTCCCTTTCGGCAGCGACGGCACAACCCCAAGCGCCACAGATGCTAATCGTGGAACCATCAGGACCCCAAGGAATGAGTAGTAGTGTTGGGGATAATATTGAGCCATCGATACTGGAGCAGTGCATTGCGATGGTCGTCTGGGATCTTATAACTATTATGTGTCGTGAGGGATTAAAGGTCAGTGGACAGGAAGAGAAAGATGGTGGAAATCAATACATTTTTCTTAAAGTAAAAAGAAAAATAAAGCATAGTTATATATTATTTCAGGCACAGGTGATACATTGTCTAAAATTACATTTAGTTTTTGAAGAATAGGATGTTTTAGATTTATAAAGATGAAAACAGTATGGCTTGTAGCTACTGAGCTATTGAACATGGATTATTTTATTTTATTTATTTTTTATATGTATTTGAAAAAAAGGTATATCCAAACAATCTGTGAAAGCAGATATGCAGTAAAAGACAGAACAACAATTTGAAAAATTGTAGTTTTATCTTTTTTTTTGCCTGAAATTTGCCTTTACAAGGAAATGATATTCAAAAAGAGAAACAGCCATTCTAATTTTTGCAAATTATAACCTGAACATATTTTAGAAAAGTGTGAGTGAACTGCATATGGTGGCGGGCTTTTCATGCTCCTGTTCACTGGAACTTGGCGTCATGATTCTCCACTATCTTGACCATAGACATCGTTCTCTAGGAAGACAGGTGAATATTGTTTTGTCTCTGATTTCTGCCTTTCTAGTGCAGATGGGTTGTCTTCATTGTATTTATTTTTTGGCTAATTGATTTTATTTTCATTTTTCTGTCTTGAAATCAGTATTAGAATATATCAGAAATTTTAGATCACATACTTAATAACTGCCACTAATCTTGAGAAAATCCATATCTTTTCCAGAGTTTTTGGGAACAGATAAAACACAAACTCTTAGTCCTCCTGAAAATATACAATGAAAACTCAGTTCAGCGAAATTCACCTGGCACGTCACTGAAGGCACAGGAACCAACAGAACAGTCCTTCGGTGTGCTTCAGTATCCATCTCCTCTTACCAAAGAAGTTAAGCTTCCTCATATATGGTGGATGTTCTGGAACTTCTCCAGGCTTTACAGATATGATGTGAATGGGAAGAAATTAGCTGATAAGTCTGTAAGTTGAAAATGCATTTTCTTGGTGGATGTGTTGTCATTGAACTTATTTAAGGAATGGATTCTTTCATAATTTGGAAGATGCCTAATTTAAGAAAGTTTGCTTTCTTTAGGAATGGAGGTTTCCTTGATTCTCTTTTTGATGTGGAGGAATTTGAAAGCAAAAAAACTAGTTTTATTACATGAGTCTGTATAATATAATGATACCATGTTTTGGAATATAGAAATAAGGAAGAAAATAAATCATAGTAATTTATTATATGATTTATTTCATCTGCCATTGGTCTCATTGCTACTATTACAAAAACCCTTTTCAGAGTGAAATCAAGAGTGAAACTAAACTACTACGGACATTGATAAAATTATCCATGGAAGGCCAACAGCCAACTGAAATTGAACTGCGTTTCTTCACTCGGTGCTGCCTCAGTCTTGGCCAGCTCTGGGGAGGGGAGAGGAGCAGTGAATGGGGTGCAGCACTGTGGGACTACTTTTCCAAACACCTTGATTCGTCTTTCCTCTTGCCTGGGGCTGGGCTGGATGGACTAGCCTGTGTGAGGTGTGTGTTTATGCTTCCCTGTGTATGAAATAAGTTAGCCATTGCTTTGGGTGTCTTTTACACGATTGTTTTTCTTCTATGAAAGGTCTTTCCATCTTAGAAGGTTTGTAGCTCATAACAATCAGTTTTAGATGGATAGTATTGACATTTACTGAAAGAAGCAAGGTTTCAGAAGTGATGAAACATTTGTCAGATTGCCTGGCTGTTCACCGTAGATCTCTTTATCTGTCCTCAGTAAAACAGCAAGTGGATGGATAGAACAGACCAAGTCATATGCCACAGACCCAGCATATATGGGGAAGTCCGAGTCATCATGGCAGGTCTTTCTTCGTATCATTGGTGAGTATGAACACTGAGGTTTAGTGTTCTAATACATGATTGTTCTTGTGCTGCTTGTTATCCTATGGCAGGGAATAGACTGAGGACCATTTTTAAAGGATGCCCAGGGTGAGACCATAAGAAAAACTGTGATCACTATGACATACTAGGAAAGTTTTTGACTGAAGGACATACCTGTACATTTTTTATTTTGCTGCTAAGGGAGTATAAAATAAGTTATACAGGAATGTGCATATATTTTTTAAAATTTCATAATGCAGCTTGATAGTAAACTAAAATGACTGGAGCAGAGGTGTAAGGGGAGCTTTGAGAAAAAAATTAAATCAGTCACTAATTCAATGAAAACATTGTATATAAAGCAGCCTTTGCACATGTGGACAAACCTAGTTCTAATTGGTGATGTTATTATCGTTAAAATGAACATTTCTTCATACATTTTTCAATTTATGTTAGAGATTACTTTCCTGGCATACCTAGTGGTATTTACCTCCCAAGTTTTCCTTTAACTCATAATTCTGTTACAGTGTCAGTGGTAAAGACCAGCACCTCTGAATGGAGACAAATGAGAGGAAGAATCTATTCCAAATTTCATGGGCGCAAGATGTCCGAGCTCTCCCCCATTGGCCTCCACAACTCTACATCTCTCTTCCTGACCCTGGCCAACACAACGGATATGGTCGATGTGGTAGGGAGAAATGGATATATGTTATATGAAAGTTTGTTATAATCACATGAAGCATACAAAAAAACAAGAAACAGAAAACTATTAGAGAGATAAGATGACAAGCGAATTGTAGCTTCATTTTGAAACTTTTCTCACCATGTAATAAGCATGGTTCTTTACTGATTTTTTTCTCTCTCTTCTCTCATATGAATTATTGGCATTCAAGTGAGATGACTGCTAGTAACATAAGAAGGATTGCAAATGTTTTGAATTAGAATATTTGCTGTGTGAGTTGTTAGTCTTATTGCATCAGAATTATGTTATTTTGGCAGGTATATTATCTTTAAGGTTGCAGAGGCATTTTTCTTGTTGTCTGCCTTCTTGTGAAATGTGCACCTGGTGTAGAAACCTACAAGACTGTAGATGTCTGTAGTGTATACTTCAATACAATATTACCAATGGTATCATATTGAATCCTCACTTCTAGTTTCCCTCTCTTCAGAGTAACAAGCTAAGCGAACTTCTATCAATGGTCCCAGCATCAAGTCTTGGCAAGTCAAAAATTGTTTGGCGTGGATTTCTGGCTACCATCTTACTGCTACTTGGTGCTGGCTGTGATATCTCACCAGTTATAGGGAAACTAAAGCCAATCATTGCAAATGTGTTGCATGAACTTGGCACTACTAGGGATGCAATGCAACGAAGGTTAGTGAATTTCACGATTTGGTCCTGATGGTGCACCTAGAAATAAACATGAAGAGTAGAGAGAGAAACACTATTGATTCTTCAACTGTCATGTTATTATCTTCAAACTATATTTCAATTTGCCTGAGATTGAGGTAAAGTTGAAGATAAGTTAATTAATTAACAGTTAATTATATTTCAGGGATTTAGGCCAGCTGGTTGTCATATATGCAGATGGTCTCCAAGAAGTGTTTGAGCAGAGTCATGATCTAAGTCTGGCTCAGCATTCTCTCATTAGTAAGTTCACTTATTATTAGATCTTGATGAGTTGATTATACTGAGCTAATTGAAAAAAAGTCACACCTTAACAGAACAAACTTGAAGCATGATAGGTTTCTTTATCTTTCCTTTCCTTTCAGGTGTGGGACTGGGTTCAATCCTCCATCACTGTGGGGCTGTGGAGATGAAGGCTATTCTCAATGCCTTGGATGCAGCTCTCACTAAAGTTCTGGCAGTGTTGTCAAAGCCTCAGTATTTGGCTGGTAATTAGGTTTTCATGTTTGTCCAGGTTTTGCCATCCTTCAGAGATTACATTTGAGAGGGTGGGAACTCCCCTGTATACTTCCTAGATTTAGTTAGTATCCCAGGTCACAGATGGAATGACAAAAAGCCATGCCCTTTGTATTTTTTTTAATTGATTGTGTCATATCTCACATAGATGACTACAAATGGTTAGTCTCGAAGGAGTCCGTTACTAGTCCTATCTGTTTACCATTTTCCTTGATTTTCAGAATTTTTAAATTTGTTTTTTTATTGTCATTAGTATTTTTGCAACATTATAATAATCATAATGTCAATAAGAACAACAACAGTATCAATATAAATAGCATTAGAAAAAAAAGTCCAGAAATTCAGGAAATAGGGAAATCATGTGAAGTCATGTAGGGCCTCCAAATGGACTCCTTGGTGGCTGAGCACTTTTGGAGCTGTCTGCCTGCAACAAAACTCTCAAAAAAACTACAGTGGACAATACATAAGCCTAGGATAGATGGGTTAAAATACCTCTTAAGTCAAATGATAATTGAACCTGTTTCTTAAGCACTTTTGCTATCATAAAGGCCAAGTAATATGCCATTTCCACGATGTAGTTGTATTCTTAAAATAGTTTCCTTCCAGGCGGACTAGGGACCGATATTGTTGAAGTTGTCTGGAAGGAATTTGGAGTCTTCCTTAGAAATCATGCTACCACACTCACTCCACCAGCTGTTCTGGGCTCAGTGGCAGCCAAACTGACTCTCTGTATGTCATATGATATTAGCTCTGCAACTCCAGGGCTTAAAGAGGCTGCTTCTGGACTCTTTTCATACTTTGTCACAAATGAAGCTGTAAGCACAACGTGAGTGTGAAAAACCTTATTTTAGTTGCATTTTCTCAAACTGGTGCAAGTTTTGTATTCATTTTTTTTTTTTTTTTTTTTTTTAGATGTGTTCAGACTCTGATTTTAGATCATACTGTCTCAAAAACCTTGTTGTGATAGTGTTGGTAAAACATTGTTCCATCCATCTTTGTTCAAAAGATGCAAGATATTCAAAACATGAAATCTTAATTGTTTATTTATTTACACAGCTGTAGTCTGCAGTATATCACAAGTCTCCTCGCAGAGCCAGGCAGCCTCACCCAAGTAAACAGAGTCAATGCAGGCTATGAAGGCCTTCTAGTATCAGGGTGGTTGGCAACCCTGGTGACGATGGGTGACAGTGATGAAGTACTATCACTCACTCCACTCATCATGACCTTGCCGGGTGTGGCATCCGTCATCAGCTGTTCTCCTCCTGCTTGTCCTTTTGCTGCTGCTAAACTTCTGGTGAAAGGAGTCAGCAAGAAGTTCAGTGAATCACAGGTAAAAATTGGCCCTGAATAATTTTTTTAGACATTTACCTTGAGCATATCTAAGAAGTATATAATTTTATCTGTAGAAGTTCATTACCCTTTGTTAATGTTGTGAACAACAGGATATGTTCTTGTTAATGTATGGAACAACTTGTATGTCATTTTAATTTCAGTGACAAAAAGAGTAAGGAGACTTTGAATAGTATATGTAGCTAGATCTAATATGTTAAAGTTTGAACTGTTTTTACAAGAAAGAAATGACAAGAAGTGTAAGAAATAAAATCTTGATATTAGTGATATTACTTTTTTAAGCTTCATAATTGTGTGGGTACAAAGACCTGAGCATCAAACAAGCTTATCTTCCTCTACCAGAAATTCATGGATCGGATGGCCATCAGAGAAGGAGCTCTTCAGTATTTTTCAGGTCTAGACAAACCAATTAGCACTTTGCTCAAGAAAACTCCTCTGCCAAATCACCTGCGAGATGTGCTGGGATTAATTGCAGATCTTTTCTTTTTTGGACATTCTGTTATTTATATCAAGGTATGGAACTGGTTATGTATAGGCTTGTGTGGAATATTGTAAAGCAAATGTTTAGGATATAAATACCCTAAGTATTTTGATAAAAAATAATGAATTTAGGGTTTTTTCTGTTCAAGCAGTCTGAATTGAAATTTTCTGTGAAACTTCCTACAAATATTTCTTCCTCATTCTAATTTCTGGGAAATTCTGATACATTTCTAACTCTGGTTATGTGAATGTTATCCTAATTTCTGGATTTATTGACTTGATCATTGCAGAGAGATTATTTAATGTAATTTTCACTCTACATTATTATCAACACATAATTCAGTAAGATATTGTTGTATTACTTTAGTTTTTAGATTATACAGAAGTATAATGATTCTTCTTCTTTCTCTTCCAGTCGAGACCAACTTGTCCATTACCTGTTCTTGTTAGTTCTGTTCTATTGCCAACTACAATCTACAGCTGTGAGAAACCGCTGAATGCATCATTGTCTACAGCACTGGCCAGCACTATACCCAAGGTAAGATTTCTGGACTCTAGTTTAGATTGAAGAATTGAGAAATGGGAATGAAGATCATTAAGATGGTCATCTGTATTCTTAAATGCTTTCACTTATGCCTGAACTTCCTCTTCATACATTTCAAGGGCTAGAGAAAGTATTATTTCCAGTATAATTCAATTATGCTCTCCCATGAATATAAGTTTTAAAAAAATGTCTTTGCACAAATGCCAACTGTTTGGGACAATCTGATTTAAGAATATTTTAATAATTTTAATGGGTTTTATTTCTGAGACTCCCCTGTTTGGGGTTCAGTTGGTTAAAGTCAATATAATTATATAATTATTTTGTATGTCTGTTTCAGATGGTGTGTGGGCTGGGATCACTAGGCTTAGCCCAAGATCCCTACCTAGTGCGTTGTGTGAGGGATGTATTCAATCATTACATGTATAGGTTCCCTGTGAAAACCACCAAAAATTATACGACAGTAACACACCCTTTCATTGTAAGTATTGTGCCTTGGTTTATCTGTGCTAATGTGTACGTGGAGGATTGCAACAGGCCATTGTAAAATAATGTTTTTTTTAACTTTCTTTCCATCTCCTTTTCCTTCCTATTCTTATTCTCACCATCATCGTCAATCATTATCATTTAGTAAACAAGTAATAAAGTCCTGATAATACAGTTAATACAGCATTTATTTTTATTGCCATGGCAAACATGACTGCAAACTGATGTCCATTAGTTGTTCATAATAATCCTCATCATCTGTTTAAAACTTGACTAATGGAGTGTTTTCCACCAGATGTGCCTCCATGATGCTGATGTAAAGGAGGAAGTCATTCAAGAATTACGTCAGATCTTTCTGGAAGTCGTACGAGACACTTATTTTGGGAAACGAGGCATCAGCAATCTTCACTTGCAGGTGGTATGTATTACACAGGGGTATAGTAATTGTCAATTGGCCTGATTACTGTCTAGTGCATGGGAGCTCAAATTTACCTGGTGCTGTGAGTGACTAGGACCCTAATTATTCCTAGCACAGGGAATAAGCAACCTATAAAGCCTTAATTTAATGTTCATGTACCCATTACTATTATGATATTAATGATGGTAATGTTGGTCTTACAAATTTCTTGCAGATTGTGCAGCTTTTATTGTACATGGATAGTAATTACCAACTTTCTCTGTAGAATGGGGGAGCTTAAGTATCACTCTGAACTAATTAGGCAATTACCGGGAAAAAAAAAAAAAAGATAACTTGCAGTAATACAGACATTCTTTTCAGGTCATATCATTAGTGCTGGAATTAATGTCCAGGAGTGCGGTGGAGTGGCAGGAGAATGTGTGCTCCTACCTCTTCTTGCCTCTCCTGGAGCTTCTCCTCAATCTAGAAGACCAAACTACTAAGAGAATTGCAACAGACCTCCTCCAGAAGCTGTTACAGGAAGCTCAGGAACAGGACGCTCCCTCACGGTATGTGTCCATCAGGCTTCCATGGGCAAAATGATTTAGATTATTCATTAATCAAACTTTTGTGTGTTGGTGATCATTCTCTTTAACTCAGTTTCTCAATTCTCTTTTCACCCATTCCACCAAAATTAAGCTACATAGCATGACTTGGCATAATTTATACCAGGTTAGTTATCTTCTCACTGTGGTTGGGCTTCTTTATTTTGCTTTTACACATTGCTGTATATTTAATCAGGACTTTAACTTTATTCTATCCTCTCAGTAATGAACTAGTGAAGAGCATCCGACAGCTGGTTTTCCAACATGTTTCCTGGTCATCTAGTAGGCTCTTCCGTGTGTTGGGTGTATTGGGAGTCCTACACAGGCCACTCTTGGTGGATTCACTGCCTCATATTGCAAGAGCAGTCACAGCCACAGAAGAAAAACGAGGAACTGGACTAGATCACACACTTAGGTTTGTTATCAAGATCCAGTTTAACTTTTATGCTGTTATCATGGTATGGGTTAGAAGGGTAATGTTGAATCATTGTTGGTGGAATTTCCATTTTCAATTGACATCAAATAATTTGGTTCTAGAGTGAAAGCCTTCATGATTAGTTAATGGAGTGACATACAAATACATCTAGGATTGGGGGATGTTAAAAATAATTTATCAGTGGGGATTAATAACTAATTAAAACAAAGAAGGAAAGAAAGGAGTTACAGAATGAAGTATAGGTAAAATTTTAAAAAGTTTTGTAGCAAACAAACAAACTTCACAAGAACTAATGTTGATTTCCCTTTTTTTTTCTCAGAGCATAGAGAAGGATTTGCAATATTAGATAAACAATTGCCATTTTGATAGTTGCTCCATGATCATGTTAATTCTGAAAATTAACTGTAGTGAAATTATGGTAATTCATAAGACCTGTACTTTATGTTTTCTTCTTTTTTCCAGACAAGGCTATCAGTCTTTACTCAGCAGCTTGGGAGTTAATGAAGGAGATGTACACAGTAGTTCATAATATTGAATGTTCTTATGTTGCAATAATGAGATATTTTCTTGATTTCTTGTCAGGGTACAAATTTAATTCTTTTGAAGATCTATTAAGGTTAGCATAGAGAAATCAATGTATATTTTTTACATGAAACAAAATATAACTAATAATTTTTTATTTAAATATCATTATTATTATCCTTTCCTACAAAAACCTTGTAGTACATTTAAATATCATATCCTATTTCCCAGGCAATCGAAACTGACATGGTGCCTGCTCTATATAAACATTACTCAAGTATTTTACTCAACAGCAACAAAAGAGATTTCTAGTAACATTACATAAAAATTTAAGTGTTGAATCACAGGGATGGGCACTTATCACAAAATACATTTACATGCAACTTTCATTCATTATAAATCAGTCAGAGAAATATTAACAAGAACTATATAAGTAATTACTAATGGAAAATAAATCAGATCAGAAAGTCAGTTTGAATTATTTAGTTGATAACGCAATCAGTCAGTATAGGAACTCGTAATCTGCAAATGAATATCGATAACACAATATTCTTGTGTAAATGATTCAAGAACACATTGGACCTAAAATGTAACCCTCCTAACAATGCGTCATCTGAACATGCTAAAAATAAATGTTCTAAGTATGTAAACTAAACCTAAGGAGTACATATAGCATGCTAATGCTCCCATTTGGCGACAATCAAAATGTCTACTTACAAAATAGCCCCATTCGACATTGCACTCTTAAAATTTATAAATGCATTAGTTTGCTGTTTTAATTACCCTTATGTCATGTACAAAGCCTCGTCAAAATTGTAGACATACTCACCAATATACACATATTTGAGATCCATATCATTAAAAAAAGATCAATAAACATTTGGCTAGTCAACTTACTACAACCATTTGAGCCTGATGTATTTTCAGTTGCTACAACTTTCAATCTTTTCATATTACAATAGAGATTACTTTTTCTAATAACATTACCTAATAAAAAGATGTATTGGAAAAGATTACTGAACTTGACAGTTATCAAAGTAGTATTATTTAAAGTGATGGCATCCTGTAACTCAACCATCCAAGAAGTATCCCAGCTTTACAAATTCTAGTCCCTTCACAAGTGGAATGTTGCTAGTAGTGTTTAATTCATAGAGGGAAAATCTTTTGATTTATTTAGTTTTACTAATAACAGTGAATCTATACAATTCCATATCCTTCAGCATAATTTTGGCAGACTTGATCCAGAAATACGGTTAGTCCTATACAAACATATAGTTTATCACACATATATGGAATCTAGCTGTTAAATGCTCAGCGGTTTATCCCCCACTTTCTGTACAAGAGGGACTTCTCTAATTTATCTAAAATCCATTTTGTAGTAGGAAGATGCTGCTGGTCATCATGATTGTCTGTAGAAGAGCAAACAGAGTACTGATGTACAAACGCAGTTGCTAAAGAGACATGCTGACTCTTTGGTGCCTCTCCTAATCTACCCAGCAGGGAAGCTGTCACCAGGTGTGGACGAAGAACTGCTACACCCATTTCCTTGGCAGAGCCTACCTTGTGGATCTGCTGCGACAATAATAAAGTGCCCCTTTTTAGATGATCTAGATCAAGGCAGACTGCTTGGCTAGAAAAATGGAACTCAGCTACTTCTCTTGAGCGTCGATTGTTGCCCACCAGTACAGTTAAAGTTTCTTGCAGTGTAGGTTTGTGCTTCAGTATAAGATACTGATCCAAGTCTAGAATCAAGACATTCTCATGTGTGTCACGATGACGGTAGAGACAGTCTATTTCAACTATCTTTTTGACAACTGCCTTTTCAAGTTTGAAACTATGGGAAGAGCTAAAAAGTTTTTCTTCAAATTCAATACCAATCTCATCACTGTATTTGTCTAAGAGTTTTCTAGCAAGAGGTGTGAGAACTGGACCATAAATTGAAAACCTATCAATGCCAATAATGTTATAAAAGGCTATAAACTCAATGATCTTCAAAGTAGATACTGGACCCTCTACTGGAAGAATGCAGACTGCAGATTTATTGATAACAATCTTTGAACTCTCACTCTCATGTATGAAGACTGGCTTTGATACTTCAGTATTACCTACTGTAAACTGAATCATGTATGGAGTTTTGCTTAGCATAAGCTTTTTGTTGTGAGCTGTGCACAGCAAATACAAGACTTCTATATCTTCCTTATGTGTGCTGTGGCCATGCTCCCTCTCTGACACTGGTTCTACGCTACAAGATCCTGGCACTGGCTCGCTCTCAGACTCAAACCAGACCAAACACCCAAGGTCTGAAGGAGTAGCTGAGGTCTTGCGTACAGCTCCAACTGTTCGGATCTGTGGTTCACCCAAACCATTTGAGTCATCCCAGTAAGATGAATAAACCTCAAGGTCAAAGGTGACTTGAACCCAGTCAGCAGGAGGCGTTGCAATCTTGTGGTGAGTGTTGTAGCCACACTGAGGTCTTGCTGCTTCTAATTTGGAAGGAGGTTCACCAAAGGTGTCAAGGTATTCAAGGGTGTATCTCAGCCTTTCGTATTCATGTTTATAAAACAAGAAGGCAACAAGACACACCACTGAAACAATGGTAAGCGCAA